TATTAGCATTAGAAACAGATCACCTTTAAGACATGGCTTACACTAGTGCAATACGATTTTGATCCGATTTCAGGTGTGATTTTGCCGTGCGACTTCTTTGCCATTTTGACTCGATTTTAAGCCTGTGCATGTTTTCATTGAAGCCTATGGGGACAAAATCGGGCTAGAATCTCACCAAATTAGCACAGGATCCTTTTCCAAAACTGATCCATGCTGAGTAGCATTGATGTGAACAGGCACCATTGAAAACAATGTGATTTCCAAGTCACATCAGAAATCTGCCTAGAGTGAACCAGGCCAAAAACGGAGATAGGACATAGCAACAATTATTCAGTTCTACAAAGCAAGAATAGAAAAATAGATTTTATTTAAACAAGGTGAAACATTTGTAATCTAAAAAAATGCAGCGCTGAAATTATATTGACCATCAAGTGCAAGCAAAATGTTCAAAATAAAATGTTCAAAATAAATTATTCTTTCATATAACAAAATAGAAGTCCTGTTAATGAGAAAGCGTTCCAAAATTGCAGTGGTCAAGGTGATGTAATATACTCCTGGTTACTCCATAGGGTGATAGTACAATAATGCACTTACCAGAAGAATGAGAGGAGGACAGCCACATCTCTCATCTCTGTCTGCCTTTTCACATGTGCCACTGGAGAGAAAAAATCCGAAGACATTAAGTTATTTTTATCAAGAAAATAAGGGAGGAGAGGATCCTGGAGTCTGAACGGCGGTGGACCTTCTGGTGTGCTTATGATGACCCCCAAGTGTGAGTGACACCATCCCTGGGAGTCTGCTGCAGCCCTAGATGACGCCATTCCGGTGACCAGACCCTGAAGTCTCCACGGATTATTTACATACAACGCCCAGTTTGTATGTACTTCTGGTAAGTGCATTATTGTACTATCACCCTATGGAGTAACCAGGAGTATATTACATTACCTTGACCACTGCAATTTTGGAACGCTTTCTCATTAACAGGACTTCTATTTTGTTATATGAAAGAATAATTTATTTTGAATATTTTATTTTGAACATTTTATTTTGAACATTTTGCTTGCACTTGATGGTCAATATAATTTCAGCGCTGCATTTTTTTAGATTACATATTTACTGAGGTGCCGAGGTATGCCTTTTATGCTAGCAGCTCCCTATTAGCTTATCGTATATTTAACCTGGATTTAGTTGTGTGAAAAGTTGCGCTCATTCATTTTTGTTTATTTTATACTTCTAAGGTGAAACATTGTAACAGCAAACAGAGCACAACACACACACATTTAAAAGCATTTATAAATTAATACCAACTAGGTATGCACATATAATGAAGATAGTTCCTCGGGGTGATCCAGCCAAAAATCTCACTACAAGGGGAGAAAAGATCGGTATAAATGCCAGTGAGCCATACAGCAGCCAAGTGCACAAGTGTACTCTATATAGATAAAAATCAGAATGGATCCTTCCTGAGATTTGCTTTAAAATTAGAGAGTGTATAGCAGACATCAGATCTGTATCAGTGCCTATTGTCCAGGCAGGAGTGGTTGAGGAGAGGGGGGGGGGGTTTGTATGTAGCTTCACCTGCACATATGCAAGGAATGTGTTTTGAATATAGCCCCTGAGATCTGCTGTATAAATTGGAAAATGTATGGTAGACAGCAAATCTGTGTCTAATACATAGCACCTATTGTTTGGGCTGGTGTGAGGGTGTGCTGAGATTCCCTGTACACATTCAACAATGTATGGTAGACAGTAGGTCTGTGTCCAATCCACAGTACCTTTCATTCGGAACATTGTGTGTGCGGGGGGGATAAATTCCTGAGATTTGCTGTACAAATTTAATTCACCTGCCCATATGCAGAGCTAAGGTTCACTTGTAACTCAAGAAGGCAAGACACACCGACGTATGGTATACATAAAACACACCAGATCCAGGGACCAGGGCACAAAGGTACAAGGTAGGAAAACGGCAAGTATTACCTTACCCATACTTTATCTGGCACAGTTCTAACAGTGCTAATCAAGTAGTTCCACTCTCCTAATTCAACCCATACATCTCAAACATTCTGGTATTTAGCAGGTCCTTGCAATTGGAGACTGTATGGCGAACAATAGAACTATATCCAGGCAACAGCACCTGCCACCTGGACTAGTATGGGGAGGTGCTTGTGAATGTATGTTCACCTGCACATATGTAGAGATCAAGTTTACTTGCAGATCATCAAAGCAACATCAATGTTATGTATCCAACACACAACAACACACCAGTTCCAGGGATCTGGGATCATAGGGCAGGTTAAATACATTTGGTTGTCCTACCCACACCTTAGCCTTCACAGTCGCAGTAGCGCTCATCAAATATTTCTACATAAAGTTTAATGGTGCATGTTTTCTAGTATATATGTTATAAATATTGTACCCTCATACAGAAAATAATTACAATCCTATACAAAAATTATGTAAAGCATCTTATTATACATGTAACCAGTTAGAAAATTAATATATTAACTAAATATGTCATATTTAGTTAATATATTCATTTTGTACACAGGCACTGTATGATACAAATACAAGGCTTCATAGATATATGTGTTTTTAAGAATGATTTTAATTTGCTTTTATAAATATTATATTCTAGTGCATAGCCTTGTATTGGTACTTAAGTTTTCTAACTGGATACATGTATAATAAGATGCTTTACATAATTTTTGTATAGGATTGTAATTATTTTCTGTATGAGGGTACAATATTTATACCTTGCTAGAAAACATGCACCATTAAACTTTATGTAGAATATGCTGACAAAGAACTGAAAGCAAGTTCGGTGGACACAGGTGTAACATAATGCCATATTCCTGCCTTTATAGCTGTCACTCTAAGGCCGTTTAATTGAGCTCACCAGGTTGTTTGCAAAATGAATGAATGCATGTATCCACACATGTATTTAGAGTTTGTATGACATGTTTGTAAATTTCAAAGTAAAGCCATTAAAGTAGGAAATAGGTAAATGTCATGCATTATCTACCTAGATCTATTACACCCAAATGTTTCCTCACTCGTACAGGATGTTGCATCATACAAACTTATAGAGCACGCTAGACTAAAATAAATTTACAACAGTAAGTCCCATCAGGTTGACATTTTTACTTTTACATTAACTCACTGGTGTCAAGGACTAGTTTAACAGTGGTGTTGAATTCTACCGTCCTCTACCAAATGTACTTTGTACGTACAAAGCTTACTTAGTGTAACTTTAGGCTACCACAGTAAAATGGGCAAACAGACAGGATTTTTATTGAAGAGACATCCTCACCCAGCCCATGCAAGCAGCTGACGATCGAGACCAGGAAACCGACTACCTGAAAATGCTTCATGGAGCTCAGGGACATTGGATCACTGGATCCAAGGTGAGTATAGTTCCACTTTAAAGATTAATTACAGATACGGTATATTTTTACATCATTATATTGACCCAGCTTGTACCAATATTACCAAGTATATACCATACCTGGCCAATGCCCCAGGAAGCTGGAAATCAGTGACGTAGACACCGCTAGTACAGTGGTCTTCCCTTCCGGGTCCTGTGCAGAGAATCCAGCCTGATGCATTCTGAACACAGTAGGTCAGCAGCTCAGCATGGGTTCCATTCAGAGAATGCTTTGCATTTTTGCCTGGTGTGGAGAGGTGGAGTGATGATGTCATGCCCCCACATTGTCCATTCATAGAGCACTTTGTATTAATTCAGAAATACTCAGCAGGGGCATGGAGAGGTGGGGTGATGATAGCATGCTCTCCACATCATCCATTCAGAGAACACTTTGTATTCATTCAGAAATACTCACCAAGGGGCCCGCAAGCAAGCGAAGATCACTGGAGTTTCAGTGCCCAGTTCAGTGATTTCCTGCTTCCAGGGATAATGGCCAGGTATGGTATGTGCATATTTACATGGCTTGAACAATGTAACTATGTAAAAATATACCATACCTTAACTGGTGCTTTCCCCAGTTGAATTCACTCTCCCATTTTCTCCATTGCTGCTTGAACGGCCACTGGGAGCATAGATAAATACCTGGTACTTTTGAGTATGGGGAACATCTAAAGCCAGTCATACATGGATGGAAAATTGGCCAGTTCAGCAGGGAAAGGACACATTTTAATCCATGTATAGGCAAGGTGGTTGTACGTTAGTCGACAACTGCCCTGTCAAATTTATGCTTCTCAATCAGCATTGCCGTCTATAGCCAGCAGTGCTGATCAATGTTATCTGATGACAGGGAAGTCTCCCTGTTGTCAGAATACAATAGCACAGCGGGAAGGATTCCCCCATCCACACTGAGAGTGTGGATGGGGGAATCAAGTACATTTTTTTTCATTTAAGGCCAGCCTTACTCATTCCCCTTGAGTGCCAGCCTTACTCATTCTTCCACAGTAACAGTTCTACTTTATATTAGCTGCTTGCAACGTTGTGCTTACACATGGCTTTCTATTTCTTCCACAGTGGAGTGAAAGGTACAGGAGTATGTTCAGCTGGGTAAAGCAAGGAATTACAGTACTGGCACAGCAACTTGTTCACTTTAAAGTGGAATCCAGCCAAAGTTTTATTGTTAGGTTAGGACTGGAGGGTGAAGTGTTGAAGAGTTAGATTTTTTTTTTTTTTCTTTTTCCAAAATTGGGGAGCTTTTACCCTCTCTTCCTGGCCCAGGTACTCCAGAACAAAGACTACTTTTCTTAACTTTACTATTTTCTGATTCAGCTTTATCATTTCCTTGATCACCCTCTTGCTCATTGTACAGTGGTGATGATGATTATGTAGATATATTGTCCATTGATTGGGCTGGAGGGGGAGAAGTGATGTAGAGAGGTGAATTGTTCATCCATAAACTAAGTACCTCAGTTGTCTGGCTGTCAACTGTTGTGATTGAATCACAAGGCTGGCTGTACAGTCTAATATAGGGCTTAAAATTTCAAATCCTCAGCTACTAGCCAGGCCTTAAGAGTTACTCGCCACCAACAAACACACACAAACAGAGACACCTGTACACACACACAGACATGTACATACACACATACACACACATGAATACACACACAGGCACGTACAGACACGAATACACACAGATACATGTACATACACAGAAATACACACGCACAGACACATGCACATACACATATACATACATACACAAACACATGTACATACATACACAGACACATGTACACACAGACACATGTATTTACATACAAACACACACATGTACATGCACACACACATACAGACAATATGTACACACACACACAGACACATGTACACACACACACATACATGTACATACACACAGACACATGTACAGATACACATATGTACATAAACACAGACACATGCACATGCATACACAGACACACACAAACATACACATATGTACACACACAAACACACACACCCCCTTTAAAAAGTTGCAGTACTTGGTTGTTCCCTCACAGATCGGGTACTGCACTCTAGGGGGAGGCAGAGAGCACAGCACACACTCCTTCCTTTGCTCTTACTGCGCTCAGCTATTGAGCAGTCTGACGGCTCCCTGTGCCAATGAAAGATCCGTCCTGAGCTCCGAGCCTGCTCAGCAAGACTGCGCTGGGGGACACACTCGCCCCCACCATAATTTCCAGTCGCCATTGGCGAGCAGGCGAGTGGAAATTTCAAGGCCTGGTCTAATAGACTGGTAAAAGAGTACTGGTAAAATAACATATATGTGTTTCAACTACATATTTGTGGTTTGCTTAGATTTTTACTATTTTTTGTGAATTTCCCCACACCTCCTGTCCACTGGGACAGGAAGTAGGAGAAGTCTTCCCTATGGGAATGCAGACAGCAATAAAAACATGAAAAAAATGCTAACCCTTCCCTACTGTGTCCATAATAAGACACTTTGACTTGCGTTTCAGTTCAACAAAAATGTTGAAGACACTTGATTTGTGCAATGTATCAGTCTGCTACCATTTCTGTTAAGATTTAAAAGGTAATTTTATATTTTTTTTGTTTTGTTTTTATAGGACACTCCATTTGACCCTGAATCTTTTACACATACCATTGTCTGTGAAAAACCAAATAACAACCTCAGCAAATTCAAAGGCTACATGTGAGTACTTGAAATTTGTCATTTTTTTATTATTTCTGTTCTTTAGGTGATTATAAAGGATAAACATTTTTGTTTTATTTAAATAACAAACATGTTATACTTACCTGCTCTGTGAAATGGTTTTGCACAGAGCAGCCCCAATCCTCCCCTTCTCAAGTCCCATGCTGGCACTCCTGGCTCAACTCGCCCACTGAGTACCCCCCTAGCAAGCTACTTGCTATGGGGCACTTGTGCAGTCTTGCTCCCGAGCTGGCTGTGTGTGTCCAGGGAGCCCCCCCCCCCCTGTTCTCTCCTCACTGGCTGTGATCGACAGCAGCTGGAGCCAATGGCTCCTGCTGCTGTCTCTGAGCCAGTGAGGATGGAGAGAGCTGGGAGAGAATATGGATCTTGAGATCAAGCTCAGGTAAGAATAAAGAGGGGCTGGGAAAGCTGCATGCAGGAGGGTCTGTACCTTAATGCAGATAATTCATTAAGGTAAAAAACCTTCTGCCTGTAGAACCACTTTTAGGCTTTTATGTGAACTTGTTAATGTAACTGTTCACTAGCATGCTATGAACTTCTATATAAATGCATGCCTTTGCTTTTATTGTATTATTCTTACCTCAGAGATTGTAAATGCAGGGTTTATATTCATTTCAGGTGTATAGTGATCAGTGATTTCAGCAGGTAGAAAAGCAGAGACAACTTTAGCCTCCCATCCCTTCAATTCAAATTGACAAGGCTTGCAATAGACACAGAAAAGCTGTCCCATATGCATGACCTGTCCTAGCAGACAAGTGCCTACTAGGGAAGTGAAAGGCAGGTCACAGCTGGACCCCATCACATCTCTTGAGCCATTGAATAATCTGATTCTGGTAGGGCTGTATTGATTTTTGAGGCAAGCACCTCCATACATTAATGAGTATTTTTTTAAATTGGAAAGAACAAGACTAGCTTGTCTTATTTTCTTCAACATTATTTGAAGCCATTGTCTGGGTATGGGTGGGTTAACCATGGATCGCCTTAAAGCCAAATGTTTCTGCTGCAAAGCACTTGCTGATTGCCATGTTAAAGGTATAGCAAAAATAATTATGGGCATATTAATTTGCCCCAAAGGTTATTCTTAGAGATGGAAAGGTCTGGTTTTTTTATCTCTTGCAGGTCTCTAAATCTTCTCCTTAAAGGGAAGCTTAAGTCGCCCCCCAAAAATTATATACTGTTGCTACTAACTTTTAAAAGGAAACTTACCTTTCCAGGGATTCAGCACCATCTTCACCCGGGTCAGTTTTTCGTTGGCCTTTTGGTCCCTGGTGTCGGCATGTTTAGTAAGGGAAGCTGGATGTGACTTTGCGGCTTCACAGATGGCTTCATACTGTGCATGCAGCTGTAAATGGTCCTACAACCTTCTGGGACTGGTGACATGTCCCAGAAGGCTGTAGGTAATGGGGAGGGAGGGGTAAACTTTCACTTGAATCGCTTAGGCAATCCAGGTGGAAGTGGGAGCAGATACCTATCAAAACTACATACCCACTCCCCCCCCCAAAAAAAAAAAATTGTTCAAAAGTGGTAAACGAGGGAGGCAGGAGGAAAAGCAGAACTTCCCTGTTACAAGAATATGAACTGTTGCAACTACTTTGACCGGGTGGCTACCAGTCACCACAGTTATCAGTATGGTGAATTGGGCTGTGCAATCCAGCTGAAGTGGAAACCTCCTTATCTATAACCTTAATGATAGTTGCTATAAAACCAAGTAATAATTTCAGATGGCGTAACACCTTAAAGCCAGTCTGAGTGGATAAAGGAGTCTCTTGAATCTGCAGCAATTTTAAATAACCTTATAATATTGTTATACTGCAGTTGGTTCTTATACCATTTCATAGCAAAGATACATTTTATTTATTTTTACCACTAATGCCAATTGTCAGTTGCTAAAGGCAGCTATCGATCACAATGTAGTCTGATCAGAGAACTGTCAATGGATGAAATGTTTTGTGATGCTGCTTGAAATTGGAATGTTTCTTTATATCTTCGATGGAAACTCCTTTGGTACATGTTTACTTTCTCACTATTTCACTTTTACATTTAGTCCAAGCCTCAAACCATGCTCCCAACTTCCCAAGCTGTATTTAAGAGAAAATTGAAGTGTTATGAAAAGGACAAACCTTTAATGGCATTACCATTCTATGATGGGCCCAGCAATCTGAGCTAAGTTTAGTACACTATTGTAGGCTCATCTGTTCAGATTTAAAATCCAAATAGTCCCTAGACATGAGGTATTTTTTTAAATTATTTTTTTTAAATGAGAAACATTTTAATCTTCAGTCATGCTATTTTTTTATCTTGTGTACCTGGTCTTTTGACCAAATGTACTGTAAATGTATAATTAGCAGTAAGTCATATATCATGGATCATATATTCTACAAACAACTGAAGATTTTGTATCTTCCTGCTTCAGTACTGTACCAGGCACCAAATAATTTCTTCCCATTGTATACACATACAATACACATACAATAAAACAGTTGCATCAAAGATAAAGAGAAAGCTTAGTAAAATCAATAAATCACTTCAACAAACAAAATACTAAAGCCACTTAGTGACTGGTACCATTAAATATGAACAGAAAATGCTGCCATCAAAGATTACCCAATCTTCATTACACCTTTCATTGTACTGGGGATAAAACTGTGTGATTCAATCCTAGATTGTTTTCACATTGTATTCTGTTAAATGTCTTGTAGTTCATTCACAGTTGATATTTCAGTTTTTTGGTAGATGCTGGAGGTTTAAACCTCCTGACAGTTTCTTATATCACTACGGAGCTCTCTAAGATCTCTGTACTTGAGTTCTTGGGTCTGCATACCTACTGTGAAATTTACAAAGGAATTCCACTTTCCGTTTTATGTTTCTTTATTTATTTATTTAATATTATGAATAGTGCAACTGGGTAAGCAGGGCAGGACCTCCAAAAAACTTGCAGGTGGAAAAGAACAAAGAGAGGAATTATGGGTATATAATTTCACTGTAAAAATATCCAAGTCATCTAGGAAGCCAATGATGACAAGCTACATATTTCCTATAACACTGAACTCTAGGCAAACAGCTTAATACACAGGCAAAATGGAGATGAATGTTGCAGTTTTGCCTGTTAATTTAATTGTAGCTCTATCCAGCCAGGTCTGAGATTTACACAGCCCTGCAGACTGTAGACAATACCACATCCTCTGTTTATAGACTGTACAAGTAATACAGCAGTATCCTCTCTTCCTCTCTAACCTGCTGATTGATGAGTGAAGGAGCAGCATCAGACTCATAGGATCATCCCTCTACTCTCTCCTACCATTAGCATATTCCTTGTCCACTTATTTGCATGCAACACAACAGATTGGCTCTCAGTTTTGCCCTTCCCTCTTATAGTCTGTGCGCTGCTATAAAGGAAATTATGAGGCTGATACCAAGTCAAATCAAAAGTTTTTATTTGTGTCTTTTATATATCTGCCTTAACTCTCTATGAGTTATCTCTGCCATTTTCTCTCAAACTAAATTTAGGGAGGTTAATCTTTTGTGTCTGCTGGGAACTCCTTAATATAGTTTAATTGTACTTAAGTGTTTACATATATTTAAAAGGGTACTGGAAAAGATTAAAGGAGACACAAGGAATGTTTAATGTTATGTATAAATATAGGAGCTGACACACCTCATACTTCAGTAGCTGAAATTCGCTTTTAGTCAAAGAAGTACAATTATCCTTTCATTCCACACTTGGTATGTCAAGTAGATATATGAAATATGCCAAGAAATAGAAGAGATCTACAGAGCTTAAATAAAATGTTTAGCTCCAAGTATTTCAGTTACTTTGCAGACATATACATACTGTAGATACAGCCTCAACTACGTGAAGTGAAGCTCCAGTTTAAACATTTTGTTTAGGATAGGGATAAGTTTTACTGCTACTGTATTTGTGACTTCACTTGGGAAATATCAAGTCTGTTCTGGAGACAAAAAAGAAGGCATGTAAGGAAAATCTTCCCAAAATGAGCAGAAATACTACATTTTATAGTTGAAACAGATGTCCCCAATGGAATATTCCCCTTCACCACCTCTTCTAGTGATTAGTCATCAGAACTGTTAAACGCAACTCCAGAAAATCTACTAAATAGTGTGTTAGAGACCCTAACAATTGAGTACCGTCTGTTATACTTTTTTAATTGCACTAACATACAGGAGAAGATTTCGGGGTGTACCTTTTTCTTCAAGGTCTGATCAGTACTCGTACACAAAGTTTTGAAGAAAAGGGTACACCTCGAAAGCTTGTCCTGAAAAATTGTATGTTAGTGCTAATAAAAACAGTATCACAGACGGTTCTCAATTGTTTCTGTCACAAGTGCACTAATACGGCTACAATCACTTCCAGCAAGATATAAGAGACCCTGTCATTTTATAAAATCTTTGGATCAAAGCACATTACAACAAAGCAGGAGACAGTATTGATTTGGAGGTCAACAGAAGAAGCCTGAAGAATGAAGATGATGAGTAGGGGTGAGCTTGATTTTGACACTGGGTTAGGTCTGAACTTAACAGTCAGTTGTCAGTGCCAGA